ATGATGCTCATTAAATGTCCCTGTGTCTGCCATACTTTTACCAGAGCTCCTGGGCTGCACCTGGGGCCAGCCTACCCCACTCCTATCCCCCCGTCCCACGGGGAGGGGATGTCCTGATTGCTGCAGCCCAATTGCCTCTCTGTAGATGGGCTGAGAGCAGGGGGCAGTGGCAGCAAGAAATGGAGGGAAGTCACTGGGAGCCCAGTTCCCAGCCTGCCCAGTCCAAGTGAGAAAAGGTGTCTGTGTTTTCCCCAGGCTGAGAGGAGCAGGCCCAGACGGACACAGGGCTGGCTGAGGCAGGCAGCACGGTCATGAGCTCCCCAGTCCAGCTGGCCACAGGAAGGAACTGGGCACAGGCCTGGATAGATGTCCTTACCCCCAGAGAAGGGCCCAGCCTGCCCTCGAGATCCCAAGGGCCTGATGGCACCTTGTCCCTGGGGAAGAGCCCGCAAGTCAGGCGGGCCTGACCCTTTCTTCCTCAAAGGGAAGGGAAATGCTCCACACTTGGATAGCCTCTGTCCTTCTGGCTCCACCCCCATCTACCCCACCATCTTCCACTTGTGACCATAGCTCCAGTCTTCTCCATGATGGCAGCTCCCCTTCTGTCACCATTGCTCGGGGCAGCCCCCATAATGTTGTGCTGTAGTCTGCAACAGGACAGCACTGAAATGCTCCAATCAGACGCGAACTACCTTCTTGAGCCCATCCCCCAAGCTATAGGTGAGTACCGGTGTCCCTCACTCAACTGTGGCACTCAGCCCCCCGCATCTCCGTGTCCTTATCTCAGGCTTCCCACCCATCCTACGTGTCATGACAGACTACTCTAGGATTGACAGCCACACCTGTAGGGCAGTGATGTTGGGCCCTCACAGGAGATACTGGAGTCCCCCCCGCTGTTCCGCCCTAGAAAAAATGTCCATGACACTGGCAAGGTGCATGAGGAAGATGATGCCACAGGCAGTGGCACAGGAAGGTAAGGGGGTCCTAGTACCACTTCCCAGCACCACCTCCATATTGAAGCCCCCAGCTTGCATGGTTAAGTGCATCCTCTGTGTGAGGATGGATTCTAGGTGCCAACATGCATGTGGGCTTGAGGGAGATGAGGGAGCGTGGAAGGCCTTGTGCCAACAAGAGAAGGGGCCTAAGGGAAGAAGTCTGGGGAAGCCTCCCCCCACATCGAAAGTCAAAGCTGTGCTGAAAACCACATCCTGAAGCACCTTAACTCTTCTCCCCCAGATGACACACATGCCTCCTGCCCATGACTTGATGTGCCCACACGTGTCTTCAAAGGGTTGTCTGTGCCCTGCGGTGTCATTGGGGATGGGTCTGTGTCGGTCTACTGTCTGAGAGGTCCTAATTTCAATGGCTTCTCACAGGCTAAAGGGAGCTGAGTGCCCAATGCAGAAGTCAGGTCCCTTGGCACTGCTCTGTCTGGTCTGGGGTAACCTTCCCCTTTTGTCCGTGTACCTCCCCAGAAGCATCTCCCCTGATAAAGCTGGTCTCCCTTCAGAACGCCAATGGCTCGTGGGGCCTTGCCTCATCCCTGGCTTCTGCGCTTGGAGTGAGTGAAACAGATGTCAAGGGCAAAATGCCCAGTGAGGTGAGCAGGCTGGGATGAGTTGGGGCAAGAAGAAATGGGCATCGTGAACTGGGCCTGTTGTCAGGACCCCTGGGACAGCCAGATGCTAGCCCCAGCCCCACCTGGGCCCTCTCACCAGGTTCCCAGTGGGGTCACCTGGGGGGATCCATAGAGGCCACAAGCCCTAATTGGGAGAGCTGTAGAGACCCTCGCTACTTTCCCTGGAGCCTTGTCCCAGCAACAGTGTTTTCAGGCCTTGCCCCCATCTTGGACCTCCTAGTCTGACCCATGCCTTGCTTTGACCATGAACCTGTCTAAGCCCTGGTGTGGTACCTTGGGCTCTGACTGGTACCCAGTACTGTAACCCTTGGCGCCAGCTCTTGGACTCCCAGTATTGTGACCCTTGACACTGGTCTCCTAGACTCTGAACCCCGAACCCCACCCACATCCCTTGGGCCCTTGGGAGTGACCTGGGGGAAACCAAGCTGAACGTCCGATGGGAGCTGGCTCAGAGGACTGGGAGGACCTGATTATGGGATGTGGGACATGGGAGATGGGGCCAGGTGCAGGTCTTGGACATATTTCTCACCGCAGGGTGTGGAGCCCGGGGTCTGGGCGACGGTGCTGGCTGTGGTCTGGCTGCATAGCCGCAGTGCAGCGCAGCGCGAGGAGTGGGAGCTGCTGGAGATCAAGGCCGTGGGCTGGCTGCGCAGTCGAGCTGGTGAGAGGGCCCCCCACTTCTGGTACTCAGGGTCCTCTCACCTGACCCCTTCTGACCTCCCAAAGCTGCAGCTCAGGCCCCCACAACTCTTGTCCACAACCACCTCCTTCCCCAGCAGACCCCACAGTCAGGCCTCCCGAGCTGACAGTCGCAATGATAAGTACAGCTCCCCTGGGGGCCCTATCCTGATGCTCCCTGCCCCCTGGTGCACCGAGGCCTGGCCCTGCTTCCCTAAGCACTCCTGCCAAGGGGCACACTGCCCCCAGGACTCCCCGCCTTGTTTGTACTCTGCCTTCAGTGCTGGGCAGCCTTAGGACAACCCTTCCACCTTATAGTGGGGCACAGAGGAAGAACCCCCTTGAGCACAACCACAAGGGTCCTGAGCCCTGCTTTTTCTAACACCAAAGCCAGGGGTTAGCTTCTCCTGCTGACCCTCCCCTCTCATTGCAGGATCCATCTCCCAGCTGGACAAGTGCCTGGAGGCAGCCAATGCCCTGCTGGGCTGCTCCGTGGCTGCCACTGTCTTTGGGCTCTGAGACTCTGCTTCTCCACCCTGTGCTTCGGCCCCCAGACTCCCAACACCTGCAAGGGAATAGACCTGCACCGCCCCCAGCTACAATAGCAGAGCAATTCAGAAACATCTGCTGCCAGCTGCTTGACAGATTTGGCAGCCAGCTCCGCTCCCAGCCAAACTGCTGCTTAGTGAATTCTGCCTTGCTTCAAGCTGGTCTCTGATCTGATGTGGCAGGAGCAAGGGTGAAGGGGAAACTCAGTGTCCTGTAATGGTCAACAGCACGCTGGCAATCTCCTGCTCTCCTTCAGCATGGTAGCCGGCATGTTTTGCTCCTGGAGGGGTGAAGTCAGCATGGCCACCTGTTCCTTCTGTGCTGCTGCTCTGAACTAAGGGGAAACTGGATGTGGGAGCACAGGGAAAAAGCACAAGGGGGAATGGAGCCGGGTGCAGTATGGTCTGGCCGCCTCCTGTATCAGTGCCATGGTCATGGTCTATCATGGGAGATGTAATCCAGCTTGGAAGCCGAGCCCAGAGGGGAGACGGGTGTCCTGCAGCACCTGACCTGCAGCTCCCAGAGGCACTGCTGTCATTTCCAAACAGAATTTCTCAGTTCTCAGGGCTTTGGTTTTTCAATGACAGCATTGCCCTTGAAAAGTAGACGCTTCTCAGAGTGGCCCATTTTCTTTTGGCTACGAAAGTCTTGACCAGCCCTAAGTAGCATCTAGCAGGCCCAGCCCTGGCCTATGCCACTGGTACTAAGGGCTGGCCAGACACAGAACTGTCCCAGGGCTGGGCAGTCTGTATGAAGCAAGAGAGAAAGGATGGGGGTAGGCAGGTGGATAGGGTGACACAGGGAAGCCAGGGGACTTGCTCCGGCAGCGTTGCGTGCTAGCAGCCAAAAATGAGAGGGTTTTAACTACTCTCAACATCTCGTATGTCTCATTTTGGTAGCATTTTGATTCAAGCACTTGAATATTTGGGAGGGAAAGGTGCCTCTATTTCTCTCTCACATTTTTCCAGTAGGAAAGTACATGTGGGCAAACACAGGAAGAGAGAGGGCTGGAGAGAGAAACAGAGTGCAGGCCATGCACTGTTCTCTGAAAATGTTACTGGAAATGGATAATGAATTTCCACCTTGTTGGTATCTCATAAGGGCAGCGCAGAGGGTTGGAGGTTGTTGCAGGAGCACCCTGTGCCAACAGAGGATGTTCAAGGATTTCCTGATCCCAGTGGGGGTTTCTGACATGCTGGGACTGGGTGCTGGGTGCTGTGTCAGGAGGTGCCCCTGGCTGCAGGATGGGGCCTTCACAGTCCCCTGCCAGGGCTGGGTGAGGAGCAGGGAGGGTCTGATTTGGTGGCAGGTTCCTGACCGCAGCAAGGGAGGGTTTGTAGGTGGTACCCTCCACCTGTGGGCAGTGAACAGATTAGCCTGTGCAGGCAGCAAGGGGTTGGTCACCAACCCCCCACCCTGGTACGATGGCAAGGACAGGATGGCAAGTTGGCCAGTTCTCCCTACCAGAGGGCAGGGATTAACACGGAGCAGTTTAGTCTCCTCAAGCTTTGTCCTGTGCATGAAGAGAAGGTACCAGGTTCCCAGAAGAGTGCTGAGTGCGACTCCCCCCTGGGAACCAGGGATGGCTCTGCCTGGGCTGATCCTGGACCAGTCTGCTCTGATACTTCAGGTGCACAGGGCCAAGGAAACTGGAGTGCTCAGAAAAGCCCCCAGCCCCAATCACTGTGGCTCCTGCCCCCTGTCCTCCACCAGATCTTATCCCCACTTCCTCCCTGCTCAGGAAAATATTGCTGCCTGCAACCGGTGCCCATCCCTGCCCCAGCCCAGCTGGCAACTCCATGAGGCTCCCTGCTTCCCAGTCCCCCCCTGGCCACCATGCCGGGTTCAGTTCTGCCCAGTTTCCAGCCACATCCCATGTCTTGGCCTGGGAGTCCCTGCAGCTGGCAGGGAGGGGAGCTGAAAGTGCCAATGCAGTCACTGCATCAGCTTCCACAGAGACCCCTTTCTCCAAGGCATGATGTTAGCGCTGGAGTAAAATTGGAGAGCAGGGCATGAGACTTACTGCCCTCCCATCCCAGTGGCTCTTGCCCCCATGTCCTGCCTCTGCTTCTGTCTCAGGACTCCATTTCTTCCGCCCAAAATTACACTCATGGACACTTGCAGCCCAAGGGTCTGTTAATTCACCCAGGGCCACATCTGCAATGGTCCATCAGCCCAGTGTAGAGACAAGATGTCCCCAGCTGGTGCAGCCACACAGCCTTGCAAGCATGTATCAGCAAGAGCTAGGAGATCCAACCACTGAACCAGTAAGTGGCACTATTCCTGCTTGTCACCAGGCTTGCCCATGGCCAGCGTGGTTCCCCACACTGCCAGGGTGCAGACATATTGGTGTGAAGGCACTCCCAGTAGCTTGGTCTCTGCCGCACAAGCTGTCTGGCACAGAAGGGGCTGCAACAGTGTCTCCCAGCACTGCTGACCCAACGTGCTCACATCTATGCTTGGAGGTGGATGGATGCTTGGGACCCCCTACTCCAATGCACCACAGGCCAGGAGAAAGGCAAAGATAGATATCCTCCCCTTCTGCATCCTGGTGGTGCTGGAGAAAGGAGGACGAGGTCAGAGCTGCGGGTTCTTCAGTGACTCTCCATGTCTCCTTCAGCCCTCACTTTTGTGAGCGGCTGTCTGGGGGCACAGAGGTGCAGCAAGCTCTCTGGACTCCCACGGGGACAGCCCAGTTCTGTCCCCTCATCCCCAGGCTCTCAGGGGGGAGAGCTGCTCGGACAGTTTTCATTGGGAGCTTTGTCTGATCCCTGTTCAAACAACCAGTCACTAAAAGCATCTTGGTTGCAGTGAAGTCCCCTGACAGCTTTCCAAGGGAGCCCTGCCTGGATCCCTGCAGGACTGGGGATGCTGGAGACAGAGCAAGGATCTGGGGGCTACAGGTGGAGGGTCAGTGAAGTGGCTGTTTCATTAAGAGGGGACCTAGCCAGGCCGTGCCCTTCATGCATTGCTGCAGGGTCCCAGGTGCTTCTAATGCACAAGGAATTGGAAAGGAGTTTGGGCCTGGCTCAACTTGGAGCAAACCTCTGTTTAAACTAATGTGCGTTTCCTGTTCAGCAAAGCCCCCGCTTTGAGGCCTGCCCGGGGGAGGAAGCTGTGCACTGACTTCTCTGTTCGGTGCCAACCCGCCCCGGCTCAGAGCCGTCCTGCAGTGCTCGCAGGCCTCCAGCCGATGGCATCCGACAGCAACGCCTCTCAGGCTCCTTTTCTTCCGTGCTGGATTCTTCCCAGGGTTGTGTTTTGCTGTTAGGCCAGGAAACCTATTGCCATTCCAAACAGGGCTTCAGCCTTTCCCAGACTCCCTGCTGAAAGATCTCCTTTCTCTGAAAGGAGCCAGCTGCTGTTCGGATATTTATATTCTTTGCTCTTCTGGTTTTCGCTCTGACTTTTGTTTTTGAGATCAACATTTCATCTGGCGTTTGAGAGCCCAGATCTTGTCCACTTATCCATCTCCCAAGAGTCCGGACTCTGACCCCAATGTAGCTCTGACTCAGTGAGACCCTGTTCCCTTCCACAAACCAAGCATGGAACCCAAATGTCTGGATTCAAGGCCTTCCCTTTCTTCACCCCGCTACATTACAATGCCCCAAGACCTGGGGATAGGACCCAGCAATCCTGACTCCCAAGACACTTGCCCTGCTGGCTTTAATTTTCCTCCCTGCAGCACAGTAAAATCCTGCTGCCCAGGGGTCAGTCTCACTCATTCTCCCTGGCACAGGCTGCCTGTTCACCAGCTCATTCACCACTGCAGGAGCTGGAACCAGAGGTGATGTTTGGCTTGCAGGAGACCTGTTGCAGGGCCCACCCTGCCTTCAAGATCCTGAGGGTCTAACCCCACCTTGTCCCTGAGGTGGAGCCCACAGGTGAGGTGGGCTTGACCCTGTCTGTCCTCCTTTGTGGAGCATTTTCCTGTTCCCTTTATTTGACAGCCTCCATCCACCCCACTTGCAGCTATATAACTCCAGCCAAAAGCTGCTCCAGTGGCCAAAGGCTCACGGTCCAAAATCTTATCGTTTTCTTCCACCAGAATGAGCTGGTAGGAGAAGGTGGTGCAGGGGTACAGGGCCTGTTTTGGGCCCTGTCATTGTGAGAGTAACACACCTATTGAGGTGCTAGAGGCATCTGTTTCCACCACAAAGGGCAAGGTTGGATTTGGGTGGGTTAACACAAGGACGGAGGTGAAGCCCTCCTTTAGAGACTCGAAGTCTCACTGTGCTTCAGCAGACCAGTAAAAATGGACATTTTTATGCAACAGCAAAGTGAGACAGGCCACCAACTGGGCAAAGTTGGCTACGAACTACCGGTAGAGGTGGGTGAGCACTAGGAATCCTTGTAAATCCTTGTTATTCCAGGGTACCATCCACTCTTGGACAGCCTGTATTTTCCAGGGGTCTATTTTGGAGCCCTCCAGGGACAAAATAAAAATGAAGAGCTTGATGAAGGTATGATCGAAGGCGCTTCAACTTTGTAAACAGCCTCTCTAGCACCGCCTGGACATGCAACTGGTGTTGGTCAGGGTCCTCTGAGAAGATTAGGATGTCTACCAAGTAAGTAATAACGAATTGGTCCAAAAGGTCCTGCAGCATGTCATTAATGATAGAATCATAGAAAATTAGGTTGGAAGGGACCTCAGGTGGTCATCAAGTCCAACCCCATGCTTAAAGCAGGGCTATCCCCAACTAGATCACCAAGGCCAAGGCTTTGTCTCCCCAAGTCTTTAAAACCTCTAAGGAAATAGTTTCCACAACCTCTCTGAGTAGCCTGTTCCAGTGCTTTACTACCCTCCTAGTGTGAAAGTTTTTCTTAACATCTAACCTCAACTTCCCTTGCTACAACTTGAGACCATTGCTCCTTGTTCTGTCATCTGCCACCACTGAGAACAGTCCAGCTCCATCCTCTTTTGAACACCCCTTCAGGTAGTTGAAGGCTGCTATTAAATTGCCCCCCCCCCCCCCCACAGTCTTTTCTTCTCCAAGCTAAATAAGCACAGTTCCCTCCTCCT